AAGCTTCAGATCTCTCTTTGTCAATACTCAAACTGCAGGATTTGTTTTGATCACTGCTCTCTCAGGGGGTAGAGCTACATCACCTGTGAAAAGTTAACAGAATCCAGGAATGGTTTGGGTTGGAAGGGACCTTAAAGCCCATCCTGTTCCACCCCTGCCATGGACAGGGACCTTCCACCAGGCCAGGTTGCTCCAAGCCTTGTCCAGCCTGGCCCTGAGCACTTCYAGGRTCCTTCTGTCAGTCCAAGTATGTATTTACCAAAGACTGATTTAAGGATTAGTTGTTGGTAGGAAATGCCAGTTAAAAGGGCCTTCAGAGCCAGCCAATATCCAGCTTTACATTCTGTCAGAACAAAAATGGTAAAAAAATGGGCATACATCATAGTATTTTAGAAATATRTGAGGATGAATATTTCTATTACAGCAACACAAACAACACACTTCAGAGCCACTCARCTGCCTGGGGTAACACAACCCTGGAAACAAGGCTGGGCTGCAATGATGACTGTGGGGGATGTTCCTAATGGGAAGGGGAGCACAGTTCCCTCAGCTAGAGCAGCACCAGGAGCAGCACCATACAGGACAGCCACCACACTGTTCTCTGGGATGAGGGGAGATGGGATACTGGATTTGCAAGCAGGCTTTCTGTTTCCAAATAATTCAGGAAAATCTCATGAGCTGATAACAATTGAAAATTTCAACTGCAGCTCTGAGAAAAATCCCAATCCTGGGACCTGAGGAAAATGCACGGACCTAAAACACATCTAGAGACCAACACAGAGGATGTTCTCAATAACCTCCTATTTCTCATCCCATCTGCTTTTCCTGCAGGGAATGGCCAAGCAGAGAAAGCTCAAATGACACCTCAAGCCTTTACGAATTTTACAGGGTCTGGGGTTTGTAGGGTCTTCTGAGAGGATGTGTCTGTATAATATATTACTGAAGCTCTTGTGCCAAGTTTAGCCTAGTGGGTGGACTGTGTGTAATTTACCTTCTGTTTTGTGTTGGGATATTTGGTGTAGGAAACTTTTTCTTCTGTTTAGTTTAGTCAATCTTTTGGTTTTGTTGTAAGTAAAAATTGTATGTTGAATGTGGATTTTAATGATTATTCTCAAATAATAATAATTTGGATGACTCCTTACCAGGCTGAAATGCTGCCTTTCAAACAAAAAAATCATCCAATTCATTTCAGGATAGAACGGCACTGCTGATGCTCCTGTGGGCTGCTCACCCAGCCAGCACTGCACTTAAGGGAAAATTTGGAACTGTGGCTGCTGTCTGACGAATCCATCAGACAGCTGAATACTCTCAAGGAAATAAAGCCTGATTTCTCCCCTCAGCCAGGGTTACAAACCCCAGGTTATTAAACCAAACTAGCGAGGATGAAAGTTAAATGTTGCAGCAAGAAAACACCAACCTTGCTGTGCAGATACAGCTGTACCAGGTGTGCTCTAGATGGGCATCACATCTTCCTTCTCACCTATTTCAGAGGCTGTTCCTCCTCCATCAGATGCCCAGCATTTTGCTTTTATTTGAAATCACAGACCAGACTAAACATAAAAGGGGAAAACCGCCCTTACAGAAAAAAAAAAAAAAAAAAAAAAAAAAAAAAAAAAAAGAAAAAAAAAGCTGGTTTCAGCCTTTCCCCCCCCCTTTCTTCTTTTCATAAGTGATGGTGAAGATACAAAAGCAGAAAACAGACATCCACAGCTCAAGCTTTGCCATGTGCTGCCCTGTGGCACCCTGGCAATCCCCTGGCAGCCAGCCAGCGCTGAGCATCATCAGCCATTCCTCGGGAGCAAGCTCMGATGAAGCAGCACTGCCCAGCAGGAATCCAGGAACGCGTTCTGGGAGCCCTCACACGTGGCATCCCGCCATTAAACAGCCAAGGAGAGCCTCGGTAAATTCCCCCGGGGCCCTTTGGGGAGGCTGACATGAAATTCACCAGCCAGAATTGGAGTGATCCACTCCACAGCTCTGCTCCACAAGCCCAAGATGAATAGGGAGCTCTGGTGAACTTTGAAGCCTGCAGGTCAAAGTTCTCTCTCATTATCCCCAACCATTTTCTATCGGCGGCGCTCCTCGGCGTCCCAAGGGATGCGAAGGTTTGAGGCTCTTGAAAAAACCTGACATGACCAAGTCAGGAAACAGTAGGGTGCTTATGTACATATATTTTTCTTCCCCCGTTTTCCTCTCCCCCCACTTTCTTGCAAAGAAAGGAGAGGGATTTCGCTATTGTGTCCAACATCAACCTGGTGGCATCAGGAGGCACTCATTTAGCTGGCACAATGCCGTGCTCATTTCAACACGCTGCCCTGCCAAACAGGCCTGACCCTCCCAGGGACACCTCCTTTGCAGGAAAGGGCCTAATTTGATTTTTCCCTCCACACCTCAAAACCTTTCATTCTTTAGGCAATGCTTTCAAGGAAGATGTCAGGACTGATTTCTGCAATGCTTATTTTCGACGTTCAAACCACTGCTTGGTGCCTGAGCCACCACCAAATGCATCTGGCAGAGACAACTGATCCACTTGTGGCCAAACCTCGAGCAATATTTAATACAGCGCTCACTATCAGCCACTGAACACTGTAATTGYTCCTTCCAACACAAGGTGTTACGTTCTGACTGAAGCCACAGKCTGGACAGACCAAATGATCTCCTAAATTTACTTTTTCTGCCACCACTAGAGGCCAGCCCACCTTTTGCTGCAATTAAAAATTCATTCCAGAATTAAAATGGCAACGTTTTGATTAAGTAAAATGACCTGCATATTTGAAACAACCCAAATGTGACCGGTCACATTAGAGCCAGGCTTTATGCAATGTTAGGAAACTGACTTCAGATAGCTAACAAAAGCTCTTTGCTTCACTGCTGTTTAATGGGAAAGTTGGTAGGAATAAGGCTCTGATTTTTCAAAACAATGTAAGAAATTATCCCAAACAGCAATGCAAGCACRGTATTAAAAATCCATCACTTTGGCTTTACTGGGAAAGAAAAAAAGGAACAAAAAATTACTGACAAGCAAAAAACAGCAAAACCAAACCAGAAACAGTATCAGAGTCCTGTTTGGGTGAAAAACCACTCACCTGGCAACCTCCAAGAGGGAAGTGTGACATTCCTGCCACCAAAGTGTAGTACAAAGTGTGCTGGGAGTGTGTCTGACTTAAAATTTCCCTTACAAACCCCTGTGATCCACACAAGGAGCAAACGGCAACACCGAGCGGAGCACCTTCTTCTTGGGGTGGGGGGGGCACGGTGGGGGAGAGAGGGAAACAATTACAGGCTGGTAATTACTTCTTCTTTAAATGGATTCTCTCTAATCTCCGATGGATTTACCTCTAATCTCAAAGTAATTACGTGTAACCTCCACGGATTCTCACTCTGGGGGAGACGCTGCAGCTCCGGGGGAGCCTGCAGAGGAGAAGTTTCTCTATTGTCTGCCAGAGCAATGAAAAACCAACACGTGCACGGACCTGCCAGGAACAATAGAGCCCTTCCAGCACGACAGGAAGGGGCCAGGGCACACACAACTGCCTCCTCCTTGCGTCATGACCAACACAATCTAAGGCAGACTCAGATGGCAGCTCCATGAGGCACGCAGGAGCCGCGCCTCCCTTTTGGGAGCAACACCAGTTCACAAATTTGGGGATTTCAGGGCTACTTCACAGGAGAATGACTTAAATTTAGAGGCACTAAAAGAGACTAGATTGGGCAGAAAGATGTGAACTACATCCCACAAAGGAGCAGTGAAAACCCTGCTCCAGAACACAGGGGCCGAGGGACAAGGTTTCTGATGGGAAGCAGCAATGCCTTGAAGCTACTCGTCATCTAATTTACTGCATAATTTTTAAAGATGTGGACATCCCATCAGAAACTAGAGCAAAGCATCATTATGGCAGGACCTGAGATTATAAAATCCTTTGTCAAGCCAGAGAAAAAGTGCTAATATTCTACAGACAGGGAACAGCAAGTCAGGCAAGCACAGCATCAGTGTGGCCAGACGTGGATGTGGCACTTGGGGACATGGTTTAGTGCTGGGCTTGATGATCTTAGAGGGCTTTTCCAACCTTAATGATTTAGGATTCCAGACAGCACCCATGTAAAGCAGAAGTTTCCTGCCAGCTCCAGGTGCAGGTCTATAAACCTCAGAATTTATAGAAAATGCATTACAACCTTGATTTGCACTTCTCAATGAGAAAGTGCCCAGGAGATCAAAATGCCACCAATAGGTTCAGTATGGCCCTAAACTGGCCCTAAAAACATTCCAAGTGGCAACTCTCTGATTTTCATATGAGGGGATGATATAAAATACAAGGAGGTGATGATAAAATACAAGATCAGGTATTGAATAAAACCACATACATATATATATATATATAAATGTCAAATATATATATATATATATATATATATATATATATATATTATAATTGCTGATGGTCACACCATGGTTTTTGGGCCAGTCCTGATTGGGATCTCTGTGCTCCTTCCATCCCCAAATCCATACTTAGGGATTGTGGCACATACTCTGAGGGACACACAGCATCCTTGGGACAATGACAGACGCCTCCACATGGAAAAGTTGTATGGAACATATTTTAATAGCCATGCCATTTCTAAACAGCTGCTCAGAGTGGTTCCTGAATAAAMCACAAGCAATGCACACTGACAAAGACTGCTTCTCACTCTTTACTACCTCTAGGAAACTTTTTCTTGTAAWACACTTCTGTTTATTAAACCTGGGATAAACAAATCCATAAAAGAATTAGCAGTTCCAGGGAATTTAAAGGAACTGGAGTGCACTCAGACTCACAGCATGGAGTGAGTGACCAGTTCATCTATAGGATAGACCCAGTTTCATTTCAGATGCTGATTCTTGGAGAGGGAGGGGAATGGAGAGAGAGAAAGAATCTCCTCACGGAAGTGGTCTCGACAGACCCGTGCCAGACCCTGCTTCCCAGGCTGCTGCTGCTGAGCAGTGTCTCACAGGGAGTACTTACGTGCAGGCTGGGGTGGTAGGTCAGCACGCCGTTGTCACACAGCGTCACGTATTTCTTCTTCCACTCCTTGTTCAGGGACTTGCCACTCCGCTTCAGCAGCATCCCCTGATGGGGGAGAGAGAGACAAAAGGTTAAACACCCTCCAGACAACACACAACTGCTTCAAACACAGCAAGGGAGAAAATTGCCAACATTTTCGGATAGGTTTTCTCCTGCAAGTACCTCCCTCTCCTCTGCCTCTCCCATAGTGCACATTCCCTCCATTGGTTTTGTCCAGTGGGTAGAAAAACCCCCTTTTGCACTGAATTCCACACCTCAGGGAAGCACATTTTAGAGTGACACAAAGTAAGGTGCCCCACATGGATTCCTAGCTGATGAAGACATCGTGCTCTGTGTTTCCTTACCCTCTAAAGCAAATTGAGCCCCATGTTGAGGGGGGATCCTGTTGCGGAGCCTCCCTCCAGCATATTCCTGAGGATTCTTTGCCCACAGAAGAGCACAAATTTATGTTCTCATTCCCTCTGCAGAAAGGTGACACCACCATGGAAACCCCTCCTGGCTACTCATTCCAGCCAAGGAGACCCCAATCCCAGGCAAGAGTAGTGACACAAAAACAGAGCAAATACAAAGCTTTCCCAGTAAATCTTGGATAATTGAATGACAGAGCTGTGACTGGAGAGGAAAGAACATGGCCAAAGCAAAATCACCTTCCCACACACCATATTCAATCTAAACATCAGRGATGAATGCCAGCCATCACAGAATCCCAGAATGGCTCAGGCTGGAACGGACATTAAAATGCACACAGTTCCAAGCCCCAGCCATGGGCAGGGACACCTTCCACTGGACCAGGTTGCTCCAAGCCCTGTCCAACCYGGCCTTGACCACCTCCAGGCAGCCACAACTTCTCATCACCAGCTAAGATTAAAAGTCATCATTATATTCCAACAGACAGGAACTGCTGCTGTACCTCGACCTGTTCCCAGCTGTAAAACAGAAACTCCTGCAGAACACTCGAGGTGGCAAACCAAGAATSCACTTCCTTAGGATATTTCATTTCCAAAACCAAGCCAGAAGACAGCTCCTAATGAATCCAGACAGTGCTCTGTTTGTGCAAAGCCTTACTGGAATGCCCAGGTGGAGGCCCTATGGTCAATACCTACACCACAGGGACGCACTATTGTCACAGATTGAGTTTTGATCAAAAGGGACACTAATACCAATTTCACTCAATCAAAACCAAGAATCCACCCAACACAAACTTCAGTTCCCTAATCCCTATAAAACATATTTTTGCCTTCTCATTTTACAAGGCAATTAAAACAAAAGGGAAACAGAACACAGAAAGATGCCCTACCAAACACGGTGCTCCCAGCTCCCATGGAGTTGCTCTTGTTAAAGGTGGTTAAAACCTTGAAAACAAGTTCCACTGTTTGTTTTACCATTAAACCTGCAGCTTTATGAAGTGATCCCTCTGCAAACCCAATCCCAAAGCCAGGAGGGAACACAGGCCAGCTYTACTCAAGAAGTGCTGCTCCTGGCCACACAGCTGGAACAGAACTTCAGAGAAGAGCCCGTCCAAATTCAACGCAATTACTGGATGGGACTGTGAAGAAAAGCTCATGCTGGACACCTGAATGACACAGTGATCCAAACTCCCAACTTTCTGACCGCCTGGGGGTCACATGTCTGTATCTTTTTGTGCTGTTCCTTGCAAGAACTCAAACTTTTTCAAGGAGAACGGGCTTTCTGAAACGCCTCCTCACAAAAGCTCCTGCGAGCGCGAGCGGCTCATCCCAATTACCGCCTGCTAACGCTTGGAGACGTTGTTTTCTTCTATTAAAAAATGAAAGCTTATTTCTGCCTTTGACTCTCCTGTTTGTCTATAGGAGGTGATCYGTCTCTTCACCTTTCCCATCTTTCATACCTCACCTGCAGCACGGCGCTGGCGTTGAGGGGGACCCAATTCTAGTTAGTGCTGTGCCGTGGGATCAAAAATTACTGTTTCCCTGCACTGGTTTGTTCTTCAGACCTTCTAATGGGGAAGAAGCAGTAAGGATCACAATGGTGAATTTTTTTTCCCCCTCTGCCTTTTTTTTTTTTTTTTGAAGTTCTGAAGGCAGTAAAATGAATATATTTCATAACCTTTTAACTGTCACTTTGCTATACAGAAAACATGTCATTAGTTAGATAATTTTCAGTGCGTGTCARTTACAATCTCAATAAATAGTCAGAATCTATCATGGTCGTGATTTTTACTATTTGAAGTTTTGCTGCTAAGTATGAATGATGACATTCTAGTTTGGGATATRAACGAAGAGAATTATTCAAAATGAGGTTTCAGCATGCTTTTAAAGCAGAAGTCTGTGCTTTCATGTAAAAAAMCCCAAATCCTCCCAGCTCAGTACTTAATATTGATGATAGACCTATTTGTGCCCAAGTAACAAACCAGACTTCCCAATTCATTTTCTTCACGCATTCCTTTGACAAACAGAATCATTTTCACATTATGTGATAATTAAAAGTATCTTGAACTACCTGGAGAGGAAACTGCTCTGAATACAAGGAGCTAACTTAAAGTGCTATAAAGCAAAGCAGCCCATATAAACCAGAGTTTTATCCCCAAGGCCACCACTTTGTGGTAATTTTATAGAATAGTCTGGTCTTAGAATCGGAGTTTAGGTCAGTTATAAATGCACTTTAACATCAGCTACACTTAAAAAAATAAATGGCCTGTATATGACAAGAAATGTGATTTAACAGGAAAACAAAAGGTCCCTTGGTTCAGTCACATTATGGCAAGATTTGAGTCACATCAGATGCTGTGCCAAGGAAATGAGATCCAGGGGGTCCTGCTGACCACTGGTGTCTCCAAGGCAATTCAGATGCAGCTTGGGCATGTCCTCAGGCACTGCCACACAGGTCCCCATGTACACACAGCGAGTTGGAAAAATCCCATTGAGTCCCCAAGGAGTGCAGCAAGAGACTAAGCCAATCTTCTACGTCAAATACCGATTTTTTTTGGTCGAAATAATCCCTGCCTGAAATAATTATTAATTGGACAATGCTATTTTTCCTAATTGATGTGAAATCTTTCATTTCTTACAACTCTCCATCAGCAGTTGGGTGCAGCTGGCCCAAGGCCTCCAGACTCAACACTCAGAATTTAACACCTCCGATTTCCACACAAACTGAGAAGAACTTCACACCTCAAATCACTCTTTTTTTTTTTTTACCACCCTCCCTCCGAAATTTTGTGTTTAAGGGCGAATGTTTTTTTCAAGAAAAGTCCTCCAGCTTGTGGTTTTCAGGAGCTGGAGGAAAAAGGCTCCAAGTGAGAGCATGGACCTCACTGCCCMGGTTTTGCTCGAGGATCCACAAAGCGAACGGAGGGGCCGCCAGCTCTTTATTAGCAATGTGTGTGCTACGTCTACTCCCAGGAGGTCATTGCAAGCCAAAAGCAATGTTAAGTGTACAAGCTTTAAATAACTTACAAAGTTAATGTAATGAATGCAAGTGTGATCTGAAATCCATCACTCAGTGGCTTGCTGTAGCCTCAAGCTGTGATAAAACACYACTCATAAATTTATATTAAAACTCTGTTCGATAGCAATTATTTACCAACAAAGATTTATTGATTGCATTTGCTGTTAGGGACTGGGGCCCTAACTGAGTCAATCAGCTTAGGCTGCTGAGCTCCAGGGCACCTGGGGAAGTTACAGACTGCCAGCAGGCTCTGCAATCCCAACATYACCGTGAGAGCAGCAGCAGCTAATGAAAAGCCGCCAGCCTTGGATTGATTGGAGCTAAGGTGGAAAAAAACCAACGCACCCAACACTGGTCAAGGGAGCAGGGCATGTCATAGACCCAGTTCATCTGAATACACAGCTACATCTGGCTGCTCTGGGTGCCTTCTGGGAGCTCCAAACTTTGTCTGCTTAAATAACAACTGAGTGGTGAGACAATGATCCATTTGTTCTATAGAAATATTTTAGGTTTTAAATAGCAAATTATCAGCATTTGAAAAAGGGACCTCTTGAAGTTGCTTAATGCTCCATTGAAGATGGTGGCAGGGGAGAAGCCTTAAAAATGGTCTTTGAAGTTAGCAGAGCCAAGATTGGAGCTTCTGGCAAAGGARAGGGTATCTGCAAGGCAGGAGTGGAAACTCAGTGACYTTTAGGGTCCCATCCAACCCAAAACCCTTCTGTGATTCCACTTTGGTTTCAATTTYCTTTCAGAACTTCACCCCACTGCCATGGCTGAGGTGTGAATGTCTGCCAGCCTTTTGTTTCTTCCCCTCCCCTACTTTTTAGCTGACCCCATATTGCTTCCCTGATGCTGCTCCACAGATTGGAACAGGTAATTTCACACTTAATCACTAACAGCATTAATTTCTAATTTTCCACTCAGGTCTGTAGTGCCACAACCACGATTAGCAGCTAACASTGCTAGGAATTTTCTACAGCTCCTGCGCATCTTGTTCAGAAAAGAAAAACTCTCACTCATGAAAAACCTCCTCCTTCAAATAACTCTGAAGGCAGCCACTAAGGATCACAAACTCATTGTTGCACAAAATTCTGATCAATAAAACACMGACTTAGTTTAAATCTATGATTTAAAGTCATAAAATCCTCCAGGATTCAGTGACCAGCCAACTCYGCACAGTCTGTCCAACAGCACTGGGAACAGCTGATAATAAACAAGAGATGAATTATTAAGTGACATATTTTGCTTCCAGAAGATTCAGTTGTAACAGTTTTCTAGGTTTAAAGTCCATTCTTCCAGCACATGGGAGGTACCAACTCAAACAATTTCATCTCCAAACTCTACCTGCATGCCAAAGAAAACTTATGGCAGTCACTGAATCACAAATTCATGGACAGTCCCAGAATGGTTTGGGYTGGAAGATCCTTAAAGCTCATCTCATTCCATCTCCTGCCATGGGCAGGGTCCTTCCACTATCCCAGGTTGTTCTCTCTTTAGACCTAAAAYCCTCTAGGGAATAAACTGTACTGGGAATCCTTCCATAAAAATGTATATTATTTTCTCAGTTTCCCAAAGTTACACTTCCCAAAGTCTTTTTTTTTCCCTCAGGAATTTAAGGG